CGTTCGTTTTTTGGGTTTTATCACTTGCCTTTGATGACATTATTTTAAAGTCGTTTTTGATTGACAATTGTGAGCAAATTTGTACCTGAACAACGCTTTAGAACAATTTTTTTAAATAGTTTTCTAGATTGTTAGTACTTGGAAGTACTTTTGATATTTTTTCAAATATACTGGAAGCAAGCGTTTGGTGTGCAGTATAGTTTTTTTGTCAGTGAAACGACAATGTTTGTTCCTTTTTATTAGTAGCAGATGAATTTCAACACAACTTATTTTCATGTTCTGCAATCCCATTTTTCTCTTACTTTATATTTCCCTGCTTTTTGACAAAAGTAATTTTTATTGCAAAATCAACTGTTCTGATAGAAAATTCAATAAGTTCTTTCTTCGATCTATTGTTTATTTTCAGAAGTTGTTCAAACCTTTTTCTCAGGGATTAATTGAATATTCGCCCCACAATCGTTGTCGCAATACAATTTATGAATCTATTTTCATCGACCATCAAGCGAAGTCGGTCCGAGTATTTGCAAAAAATCATTTTAATATTTGTTGAATTTTCAATGTCGAAACGTGCACTTAAATACTTTAATGTCTTTTTATGAAAAATCAGAAGCAAATGTTATTCAGAAATTTGCCTGCTTCTTCACTTTTCTTCATAGTTCTATTCTAGATCTTCAAGTTGCAAAATTGTTGAAACTTAACTTTATTTCTTTACTCAATTCAAGCTGATTGACAATGAAAAGTATTTTTTGCAGTAAAAGTATATGAATTTCAAACTGTTTTTTTCAAATACTATACGAAGAAAAGTAATTTAAATTTAGGAGCAAATATAGCAGTAAAAACTATTGACACAAAGTAGACATCTTTTCACTCCATTTGACACAATCAGTTTTGAAATGTTTTTCTCTCGATCGAATTCATTTAAGTTTATTTTTGTGCTATTTTTCTTTTTCATGTCTTCTTATATCCGCTGCCATACCAAACCATTTGGTATAAAAGAACATTTTATTCGCCTTTTCAAGCGTTCGTTTTTTGGGTTTTATCACTTGCCTTTGATGACATTATTTTAAAGTCGTTTTTGATTGACAATTGTGAGCAAATTTGTACCTGAACAACG